CTTTCTTTCTTCTCTTGCGATCGTGTCTGTTGGTTAATCAGATTTATATAAATAATGCTTAGAAGACATTTCGAAGTTATTTTATAAATTTGCAAAATTGCAGGATGTAACGAGTTACCCTTTATCAACGATTACCCCACGAGATCGATCATGGCTACAAAACTGAATATTATATATATATAATATATATACACGCATACACTCACGCACATACATATATACAAACGAGTATAGATGCATGCGTAGGTACGTATGTACGTTAAAAGGGGATATCATAATATAATTTTTTTTTTCTTTTACACGCGTACGTATAGTTTGTTTCTCGTTTTCTTATTCTTCTTCTTTTATCGTGACATTAGCGATCGAGTTTCTGGTAAATATCAATTGTATACATATTACTGTGTATAATATATGTATATATATTATAACATATATACGGAAGAGAGGGGAAGAAAGAAAAAAGAAAAAAGATAGAAAGAAGAAATGGAGAGGCTGAAGGGTAACGGGAGCGAGAGAGAGAGACAAAGAAATAGAGGAGGGGGAGGAGCAGGAGGAAAAGAGACAGAGACGTAGCTTTTAAGAATTAAAAGTCAGAATATAAAAGATATAAAGAGGGGAAAGTTTCTCAACAGATAGTCACGTGTCGATTATTTAGAAACGAAGAAAATCAAGTGTCCCCTTCCTTCTCGGATATTCACACGTTTTAGCAACGGACGGTCATGGCAGACGATTAGATAAAAATGCACTTCTGAAGTTACGTGCTTCACTCACCTCCAATAATACGGCAACTATATAACAAGGGTACAAGAGTTTCAAATTTTGAAATAAATTGAAATGTAAAAGCAAAAAAGTCGTTTCAAATGTGTTTCATCGTGTGCAATCATATACACATGGGTACACACGTGTACAAAAATAGGAAATGAAATGGAATGAAAAACAGGAGCAGAATATGCGCATAAAATGTAGTATTTTGTGCTTTGCACGCACGCGTGTATATGCATCGGGACTTTTTTGCGTATTACAAATATGTGCAATATGTAGAAAGTATTGAATGTAAAAATTAAGTCACCACTGATGTGTTTTGGAACTTAATAACTTAATGTATTTTTACTCTCCTTTCTCCTCCTGCGTTCTTCCCTTCGTATAATAATATCGTACTTGCTAGACAATGTGAAATTTAATTTAATGACAACTGGATATAATGTAATTAGATTCATGCGTGCTTCTCTTCCCTTTCGTTTTTGTTCCTCCTCGAATCTCTGTGTTTTCGTTCAACGATACTTCTGATGGTAAATAGTGAGCGGATTTGGGAGTAGTGACAGTGTAGTTTCGTGACTAATTTTCGCATTCCGTGTCTCGCCCTAACAGCGATATCGACGTGTGTGTTTCCGTTTCACATATCCCTCAAAGACTAGTTTTCAATAGAACGCTTTTTCTTAATCGGTCACAGTTTGAATATCGACATTCGTTGTCGAACAAACCGTTATTTCTTGGCGATTATTTCTCTCTCATTTGTAACATTACATGCGTCTTTGTCCTTTTCTATCCATAACATTCGATAACGTTGTACAACGAGACAGCGTTTGCGAAATTTCTTCCTGCCCTTTCCTCTCTGTTCAGCCTCAATTCCTTTCTTTTCCTTTCCTGTTCTTCTACACAAACCCCAACACGAATCGATACGCTTCCCTCGAATAAACTTGCTGTTGTCAGAGATCGAGCAATTCTCCTTTTTGGAATTCACGACTCGACCGCTTCCTTTCGTTAAGGGCCGCGTGACGTGACGTGGTGTACGCAATATATCCTAGATTAATCTCGCATAAATTCGCTAATTTTTTTTTCTTTTCTTTTCTTCGCATTGCTTTATTTCTTCTCTTCGTCTGTCTGTCTATCTACCTCTGTCTGTCTGTCTG